AGAAAATGTTTTTCGAAAGAGATAGAGTGAAATTTTCTATCGATTGGTATATTTTGTGTCCTTTTTAGCGCAAACGTTTTGGCTAGGAAATGTGAAATACTGGAAGCCATTTAAATCGACTTTTGTGTGAAGAAATCATCGGCAGTATGAAAAGTCTATATAAATATATAGAGCTTCCTTCTATTATAATACATGATGTAGTCGGCATCTCATACTATCTATATTACTATTTTAATCAGGTCCGTCTCCTTTAATAATGTGAAAGAAAATTTGAAACAAATAAATGTAAAAACAAAATTGAAAAAGAATAAATTCTCTTATATTTGTGTCGCCAATTGAATATATTCTTACCGAGATCGATCATCACCAGTCTCGCACGACCATATACTGATAAAAAACTACAACCAGCTACAGGGATTGTTATGGTAATCATAAACGATGATTCACGTTATATTACAACTATTTAAACGGTGATTGTGAAATAAATCGCCGGTTACGACCATCGTGACAAAACGATCATTGTAAACAAGGCTTCAATAATATCTTAGATCATCGCATACGTCCACTGAAACAGTTTCATATACGACCATCATTTTCAATCATGTATTTTCCTAAACAGTCTATAATATCAAACACCTAAATGAACACACTCAACACCGGACGTAACTGTTTCCCAGTAAACACCGTTCTACTCGGAATGCAGCAAATATGGCATAGCATTGAACGAAACGAGTATAAGTGCAAGGATATAGTCTTAAGTGTGTAGCTGCTCATGTAAATTGATAAGGGCATAAGTGTAAGGATATGTGTGTACGCGTGTAAATATGAGGTAATAACAAGAGGGAAATAACTGACTTTTACGACTTTCGAGTCATTTAAATCATTTAAATCGCGAAAGTCATTCAAAGTCATCAATAAATCAGAATATTTGAAAGCCTATTTTAGTCAATATTCATCTAGAATCTGTTCACATGTTAACATATCAATATACGCTTCGAGCATAGTACAAAAATAATGATTTTACCAAAATACGCATAGAATACATGTATAACTATTGCTCTTTTAAAAAAAAAGATTGATGGGTATTTTTCGAATAACTTTTGATAGGAGCAAGGTAGTGAGCTGCGGTTTTTACCATTAGAAAGAGAAGATTCGGGCGCATCAACATATGCTAAAATCTGAATGATCAGCAAAAGGGCCAATTGAATGCATTTTCGAGGAACATGATGAACACGACACTTTGTACCCGTTTTGCAACTTGGCTCAATTGTTAATTTACATGTCTGGTAGAAAAATTATTCTCTTTCGATTTACGCATGACCCATCTTTCTAGCTTGTTTGGTTCAAGAGATACAAGGGTATTCGTGAAACCCCTGATTTCAGCCAATTAACCATGGATCATCCAGAAAGCATTCTGGAATAGGGTAATTCACAAAGAGGAAACGACTGACTTTATGACTTGAACAATTTAAATGGCTTTACATGACTTAATGACTTTAAATGACTGTTTTTGACTTAAATGATCTGAAAAACCGAAAATTATTATTGTTTTTCATCATGTATCTTGCTTTACATCCCATTATTACTTGAGATTTCTACATGTTACATTGAGAAATAGCGAAAGCAGTCATGGGGCCAAGATCCTTAGCATCTGATGCAAGGGAAAAGCAACTGACTTTAGGACTTCAATGATTTTTATGAATTTATGACTTAAATGATCTGAAAAATTGAGAATCTCCATAGTCTATCTTCTTATATTTCGAGAATTCGATTTCCACTATTATCCTAACTTATAATATGCTAGGAGATATCCAAGAGAACACTCATCCCCGTTTTATGTTGGCTCTTCGCTTTCAGCTTAATTTTTCAGCTGAACAACACATAGATCAACTAATTAGTCTATCGTTCGATTTGTTTCATAATATGTCTATCTTATCGCCGCCTCTTGCAATATGTCGTTCTTGATTAGAAAACAATGTGATCTTCAACAATCATATTTGATCTCAGGTTCTGCATCCACCTGATATTGATGTGAACAATAATGAAAATCCAATTTAAAATTAAACGAACATTCAACTTTCTATCAAAAGTAGATGACTAAATATTATTAGAGAATCTGGTGATCATGAACACATGAAAAAACTAGAAATGAGAAAAGCGACGACTATTTTCAAACTGAAAATCTTGAAAAACGAGACTAACAGAGAAACATATTCAACTGTAAGATGCTATTCGACTTCATGTTCTAGTTATGAGTGGGACTCAATGGAACTAAGAAAACCCTAGTCTAACTGGCAACCTGTCGTGAATTTAGACAGGAGAACGAGGAAGTAATCGTTCCTTCTGTCAGAATTTTTATCGTCAACAACAAACGAAAAACTAATTTGTAATTACTAGTTCGAATGGGCCTTCAAATTCATTTTTTTTTATCGTTTCACCTCTCTCAGAAACCTAAATTCACCATTGTTCGTGGTCATATCCTATGGGTCAAGTGTTTAGACTCCTTTGGTAAATTTCGTGCTGGTCCATAGGTATATTCATCGGGAATGTTGAGTTGTGAATTTTATGTCTGCAATTTTCTCCTTACACAAGTCTGGTAGTTCATATAGCTCCCTGAAAGTATTAACTGCAACTTTAATGTTCTTTTGTTGTGATGTTGGACCTTCAAAACTTAATTATTTGTCAACGACCTCGCACGCAAACCGAGTTTACATGAATACTCATTATCTTGATAAAGTAATATTGTTGTTAGCTAAAACTTTTAGAGTATTATCAAGTCTATGAAATGCCTCTTAGATAAGAATTTCAGACCGCAATTATTGCAATTCAATATTTCAACGAATACGCCAGAATCCCAGTAAAACAATCATAACTCTTGGTGTATAGATTACGGTCGCGAATCTTATTAGAACTTTCTTAGGCACACTGGATTCTCCCACAGCTAAAATATAGGACCAGACAGCGTCCAGTACTTGGATTTGATTCCTTATATGTGAATTATATTCATGCCATTAAGTTTCTGTAGAAT